TGCGGGGGTCTGTAGCATACGCTATAAAGGGGCCCTACATTCTAAAAAAAACACATGAATATTAAAACACATTTTCAACTTGCACTGTAAAGTCATTATATTTTTTCATTTCCCTATACAGTCAGATAATACGACAAATCGAAAACCATACACACCCAGTCGTTGGTAAAAGTCGAAGGCAGTATAGTACTATAGTAATAGAGCAAGTGAAGAATCACTGAACCGGAATTTATAGCTTGAAAGCATTTAGCGCGGAGCCCTTGAAAGTGCGGGGCCCGTAGAATATGTTGCTACTTTGCTACTAGGATAATCCGGTACTGTGGAGTGGTGAATCTGTGTGTTCTTAGGTCATACACACACTTTGTTTAATGGTTAAACAGGGTAATTCATATTCAATTTCCTCCAGTCCGTTTGTCGGAGACCTTAGGATTTTCCACCTGGTTTACGGTGCTGTTAAAACGCCACTTCCTGTGCATTTAGGTTTCAAGTAATTTAGTTTTTGTAGGGCTTCTGTTCAATCCCCGTGTGTTGCTTTTAGTGATTGTATGTATTATTGTTTTGGGTTTCTCGTTTCCTATTTAGCCCCCTGTTTCTCTCGGGATTCCTTACCTTCCAGTTTAGTGCGTTTGATGAGGTCCTATTTAAACCTTCTGAGTTCATTGACGCAATCGCAGCACAGTTTGTGCTATATTTTAATCTGAGGTTACCAGCGTCCCTAAACTATTTAGCTGGAGTCTTTGGTATTCAATCGCATGTGTTCTCGTTTAGTCTTTTATGTCGGTTCATGGTTCTTGCATTTCTCAGATTGTTTGTGCTGCCTGTGCTTGGCTGTTGAGGTTCACCTCTCAGCTAGCTTTCGACAGATTCCTACTCAGTTAAAGTTTCTCTTTGGATTTCACAACATTTCTGTTGGATTGTGCCATTTTTCGTTTCGTTTAATGTTTGTTTTTCTCCGAATCCTTTTGTCTTTGGTGTGAGTTTATTGTAACGCCATCGTATGCGTTTGCCATGTCACTACAATTTGGTTAAATATATAATTTTGCACCTATAAGGGCACAAAACAAAAGTGCGTAGCTATCAGTCAACCTAACCGAATCTTAATTTTTTAAAAGTTGTATTTTATCTGTGGATAAAATAAACAAAAATATGCGGTTAAAATATCACTACGCTTGTGTTCCTTCCATTATGACATGCTTTAAGCTGACGATGGATTCTACCTATTCATCAATATTTTACGTAGGTTACAAAAAGTGTTAATGTACCCTAATTTACAAGTCTCTTGTACTGTATTTGTATATTTTTTATATGGGGGTTTCGCCTGCACTCCACCATGGATAATACCGCATGATCAGTGTTGATACTGAAACACTCCGTTCCCCTGGAGCTTGGGTGCCCCCTATTGGTGTAAAAGTATTCGGGTAATGCATTGGCAGTGGTTGCACCAGCAACATTTAACACGCAAAGCACCCCGACCAACATTCGTCCATTAACACTGCGGCCTTAAAATGAAATATTAAAATAGACGACGTTTCGGGCAATGGTCCTCTTTCATAGTACAAAAATAGACAGGCCAGATAGATAGAGTGGATAATAAGAGTTGGAAACTGTACTCTACACGATGGGGCTTGAGAATTAAAACAACAATATTCTGATGACCAGTTTTTAATAGAATATGAATAGTTACCTAAAAGCTATTGAGTAACAGATCAAATCTTTCTATAATAAAAAAAGAAGTATTACTACGACATGCATAAACGCATTTACATTAAAAGTAAAACTAATTGCTGGTGGCACAATGCCATGTGGTTAAGGTGTGTTCTGGTGAGTACAAGGCATCATGCACACCCAGCAATGCATTGCTGATGTCAATCACCATTCATTGAAAGGAATGGAACAGCCCTTTACACCCTGAGGCGGAGAGACATCTGAGCAATAAAACGTGAGTTGCACAAACATGAAATTAAAATGAATAAAATGAAACCTCGACGGGATTAGGTTGGTACCGAAATATTTCGTGATAATGCGATAGAAGCAAACAGCAAAACAAAAGTCAACACATTTGTCGATAACACTGCCTTGAAAAGGAACGTCATACAATCGGCAAAGTTTCTGGCAGAGGCCCTGATTAGGCTCACATGACACATGTGTGTGCTTGGCATCATTCTTCACCGCACCGCAGATACACCGCATGCCAACAGTACCTGCCAATGCTACGCAGTAACTAATACTGTGATTCAATTACGTATTGACAATCATGAAGGCAAAATCATAATATAGGCAACTATATAGACTACCCCCAAATGTAATTAAATTAGCTGAATGTTGCATGGGGGGCTGGGTAGCTGGTGTTGTTCCAGTAAACGTGCAAAGATCAAACCAACGTGGCATGTGGTTGGAACAGTTGGACCAAAGTGGGCCCAAAGTTGTATCAAAGCTCCATATTTGAGGAGGCATTGACGGATACTGTAGCCCTAAGGTTATGTTTAGGGAGCGTGTTTCCCGTTCCGGTATTTACATGTACTGTACAGCATTGTGTCAATTCACAGCTGGATGAGGGCCGGCCCACCCATCCCACGTGGGTCGTAGGGGTGACTTGACCACCACCAAGAGTTGTACTTCGACGAATCAGAATAATCTAATATTTACACCGGAGGAATCCGATGAGCTACAAAGCTCTTTTCCCCAGATGCCCTGTAGGGACAGGTCAGAATGTTACAAGAATCCAAAACACGATATGAGCACAAAGTACATAATTTACTTAAAGTATATGTACACAAATAAAACTAAACAATGTTTAATATTACCATGTAAGCCACACTGAGCTATAAAACTCTTTTGAGAAGCGACCTGGCGTCAAAATGATAGCTCAACAAAAGCGGTTAATCATGTGCAAATTTATCGCACGAAAATTATCTAAATAATCTAGACGGGGAAAAAAATCAAACGCGACCACGGGGAGAGACACCGCAAACTCCATATATAGAGCAGGCGTCAGGGTTGGGATCGAACCCACGACCTCGTGTCTTATTCTTCATCATCATTATCACCACCACCATCATCACTAAACAACTAATCGAAACCTGTGCCCTAGGCAACAGCCGTCGTAGTGTCAGATGCCTTACGGCTATGACAAACATTCGGCTATGAAACAACTAAAACGAGAGAGAGAAGGATGAGGTTGTGGCCAGTGGCGGCTCGTGACATTTGCACTCGTTGGAGCTGTTATGAGTAACTTCTGAAAATATGGTGTTCTAATTAAAACCTCGTCATGTTATTGGCCTTCCCGTGAAAGTGATAAACTATCTTCTCTGCCAACGGTAGGCATTTATAAACAATACGAAACGCAACGACAAAGCACTCAAATGAATCATTTGGCGGGACCCCGGGGTCCCGCAACAATCAGGCCAATAATTATTATTATTTTTCTTCTTCAGTCCGCCCCACTCGTGACCCCGACCGCAACGCGCCGCCCGCCCAGACTACTGCACCAACAAGCGCCGGCAGCAGGCGGCGATCGACACGATGGGCGCCACCCCACCGGACAAACGCGAGCCCCGGGGGGCGTCCGCCGCAGTCGCGAGCGGCGACGACGCCCTCCGGTCAGCCGTCGTCGATCCTCGGCTTCTTTGCCAAGGCGAGCCCGCCGCCCCCCCAGGCGGTGAATTTAACGTGTTTATGTAATTTTTCAACTTACAACGAAACTTAAGTGTCCCCGAGTAGCTCTCGACGAGACAATCGATTGACCACTAGAGTTTTGTTGTCGGTAAGGCAGCAAGACTCGTGTCGCTACGCGGTTTTTCCCACCCCGGGGCAGTGATGGGACCCCGGGGTCCCGCCAATTGCTTCAAATGCTATCCCCATGACCCTCAAGTCCACACTACACAACCCCTTTCACACTGCCAAAAGCCTAGAGCGTGTAGGCTGTGACTCTGCTCTATTTGCACGGTGCAACCCAGCGTTGTGACATCGTCTCTCATCGCCTTTTTCACCGCTCTCAATGGGTCTCAAACGGCGTGGCTACAATGCTATAGAAGCTGCTCATCACAATGAATGAAGGGGGAATCTCTCACTCGGACGCCTTGACAGGCGCACCGAGACCTCCCCGAGGCACCAATCAGACTGCGGTGTTGCCACGGCTTCTAATACGAACAATTTAAAATGTTATCTTCATTGAGAAATTCACGTTGAACTAGTCATTCTATTAAAAAAAAATGTGAACATGACGAAATTATCGATAGAAAAGTATTTTTTTAATTTTGATTTGAAGCTTTCGGTAAAGTCATCACGTAGATGGAAAATTAATAGGTCGCGACGTTTCGATCGCAACACAGGCGACCGTCTTCAGATGAGAGAGAGACACGTGTCGCGATCGAAACGTCGTGATCGATCAATTTTCTATCTACGTGACTTTAGGGGCCGTCCATAAATGACGTCACACACCTGGGGGGGGGGGGTCAGACATTTGTGACGATGTTGACGAGGGGGGGGGGGTTGAGAAATGTGACGTCACATCAAAATGCGCAACTTTAAATAAATATAGACAACACGTTCTACTTAATTAAATATAATTTATATATGTTTTCTCCTACAACATCAGAGTGCAGCGCCACATTAAATACGCACTACAATGACAATCATTTAAAGCGATTTGAAGCATGTTTTATTTTGGGGGGGGGGGGCAGAGCTTTGTGACGTCATATTTGAGGGGGGGGTCTGACTTTTTGTGACGCCGTGTGACGAACAAGGGGGGAGGGGTCAAAAATCGTCCAAAATCGCGTGACGTCATTTATGGACGGCCCCTGACCTAAAGAACCGAAAATAATTATTTATTTATATTCCTAGCTCTTTCGGTAAGGTCACGTTGAAGAGCTAGGAATATGAATTGCTGCAGTCACGAAAGCTTTAAATTAAAAACAAATATTTATTTATTAGAAAAAAAAATTCTCAATCTCCAGCTGCGCCCACAACGACGCCCCCTGGTGGACGAACCGCGCCTGCGTGCCGGCGCTGTCGACGCTGCGGTTGTTGCCATGGGGATGTCGCCGCATAGCAACGCCGGGGGACGCGGAGACAGACGCCGCTCGCGAGACGCGGCCGGGAATCGAGGCCTGCGCCTCGGCTCGCTCAGCTGAGCCTGACTGACTTGGTATTCACACACACCGCGCTGTGCGAGGCGACCTGTGGACAGGGCAAGGCGACGATGATGTCTCTCGAGAGGACGCGGCGCCGACGGGAGGTGACCGGACCCGGCGTGCACGCGGTCGCCCTGGTGAGTAGCCGCCGCAGTCGTTACCCCGGGAGGGGGGACCCCCCCCCTCCGGGGGTAACGACCACGGCGTGGGTAACGTGTTTGTTGTGTACCGCGGGGAGCGGTGGTGCATGCCTGTCGACCCCTCCTTATCAGTGCCCTTACCTTATCACAACGTTCGTCCTGCAAAGTCCCAATCTCAAGGGAGAAACACAAACAAATATACAAAACGTGTGTTTTTTTCGTACTCAATTTCCCAGTGCCAGAATACGGAGTTAAGCCGTGTGGGTTGACAGCTTTGGTAAGTGCAGTGCAGCGCTGCGGAACCCGGCGGACCCGAGTTCCGATTCCCGCTCACGGCCACCAACATCAGTGGCCATCGTCTGTACCAGTCCTGGGTCTGCTCTAGGTCGACTCAGTCTCCAATTAGTAACCTGGTGCGATGTGTAACCGTCGCCACTCGGGAGACGAAGGTGGCCGGGCGTGGTGCTGGCCACCCACCCACCTCGTGTGCTGTGTCGGCCTTCATAGGTGCTCAATAACAGCACTCACTCCTACAGTCTGTTAAGGCTCTACGGGAGATCTTTGTCTTCATTATTATCTGTACAGCCCTTGTTGTCAATCCACTGCTGGATGAGCCCCCACCCCCCACCACTACGCCGTGTAGATCGTGTGGATTGTTTGAACAGACTTCACCAAGTTGGTCAATGCGAGTTGGTGAGGCTATGTTTTACTGCCCACAATGTAGCCCGGCTGCAGCCTGTAACAGCCTGCGGTGCATGGCTCAGCATTGATGCAAGCAAGCTCGACCCTGCTGATGAGATACTCAATGTCGAAACCGGCCCAGATTTTGCTGGCACTGAATAAATAAAACCTGAGCACGGCGCAGTGGTAACAGATGTACTATTAACACTGCCTTATAGCTGATCTTGGTTAATATTAGGGCTGTCTTAAGTAAATTAAACCAGAAAAAAAGGCAGTTGTGTTTTCACAAGAGTTTCAGTGATATGTACTCTCAATAAATAAATGGTTACGTTTCCAGTTTTATATATTTTTTACGTCAAAGTGGTTTCCTGCTCAAACGCGTCTCACGTGTGCAGCCGTGACATTTGTGTTCTTTGTTTAGCATAGTCAGGTTTCCCTGGCACAAGAGGGCTTTTGTCTCAATTGTCCGTCACCTGTTCCGAAATAAAGTTCATGCATTATGTATGGCGGTGTAGATGTTGTGGTAGGTGGCGACATCATTACTAGGAATCATCTGGAAGAGGGGCATTGCTCTAGCATTGTGTAACTTCTTAATGTTAATACGAAAGGCACAATGAGTATGCAACAGGTCATTGGCAAGCACAACAGGATAGTGGGGAGTTTGGGTATTCATGACGTTAACAAAAGAAAATGAATTTCCAGTTGACCGATGACATCCATCACAAACACCAGGAGAGGAATATTTTCTGCACTACTCAGTGTTTTACCTACTGTATCAGCTCATACGTCAACATGATTAACAAGGCCCGCGCAGTCTTCTTGGACCATATGCCGTGGCGGCTGTGGGTTTGCAGAAGTCTTCACCAGCTGAGTAACCATAGTTGGGTTCACGGTCAGGCAGACAGAGGTGGCTCGAGAAACTTTCCAGGGGGGTAGGGGACTGGAGGGGGGAGCGGCGGGGTCACGAACTGTCATTATATAATTAAATAAATATTCCAGAACTGCTCGAAATTGGGGTCTGCGGTTTGACACATTGCAAGATGAAATAGGAGTTTGACGAGTGGTCAAGAATAGTGTCAGCCAAATCAGGGATCGCACCTGAGAGTACAACCACCGCAGAGATTACGAGGGATGACGGTGACGTCGAGAGGCTTTCATCCAGCAGTGGATAGACCACGTTTGATGACGGTGACTCATTTGCCCTGCTTCACAGCGGTACCATCCCTCTACTCACTGTTGTCACACGTTGCTGTGCCTGTGGACCTCGATTGTTCCCAGCGAGAGCGCGGTCCCAGAGTCATGCCCGCCGTGAGCGCACAGGCGAGCGAGCGCTGGCGGCAGCAGGCGCGGGAGGACGCCCTGGCGCTCGTGCAGGCCGACAAGCTCGCGCGCGTCAAGGGCGAGTGGGAGCAGCGGAGCGAGCAGCGTGCCACGCGCTCCACGGTGGACCGCCACCTCTACACCGCCATGCAGGGCCTCAGTCTGTCTCTGCAGGACCGCCGAGAAAGGTTGAGATTTTGCCGAGCGTGAAATACGTTTCTGTGGGGGAGAAACATTTGGCGCCGTGGTGATGTTAACTGCCTCACCTGGTATGCAGGAGGTCGTGGGTTCGATCCCGACCCTAACGCCTGTCTGTATATTTGGAGTTTGCATGTCTCTCTTCCCTTGGTCGCGTGGATTTTTCTCCGGGTTCTACGGTTTTTCCCTCCACGAATAGAATCAACGTGCATTTAGAGTATTTGGCTGTTATACATTTCCACGTGATAAGCCACTTTGTTGAGCTTTCATTTGTGGCCAGGCCACTTCTGAAAAAGAGTTATACAGCTCAGTGGACATTATTTGGTAAAATAAAATAAAATTGTAATAGTTTCAATTTTGATTTAAAGCTTTCGTGACTGCAGGGATTCATATTCTTGGTTCTTTCGGTAAAGTCACCACGTAGAAGGGAAACAATAAAAATATAAAACATGACTACGTGACTTTACCGAAAGAACCAAGAATATGTAATAGTTTTGTTTTATTTCCAGAGGGAATAATTGTGCGAGTGGCACATGTAATGTCACGTGACTGATTAGTCCAGCGGTTCTCAGCCCATGGGAACGCGTCCCCTAAAGAGCCTTTCAGGGGGGCGCAGGCTGCAGCATGGACACAGTGCAGGAACGTTTTTTAATGTGCCTGGGGTACGTCGGCGCCACGTTGGTGACAAAACAAACAAATACACGACATTAAACGAATGCCTTACGATCACCGTGTTGACTATAGGAGTGGGCATGTGATCTCTCTCTCTCTCTCTGTGTTGTGACCTTAGCAACATTAGTTGGGTTTTTGGGGCTGGGGAGGGGGGGCAGAGACTAGTGGTCTTGATTGGGGGGGGGGCTTGATGCTAAAAGGGTTAAAAACCACTGGATTAATCAATTGCTTGTTCCTGACTGATTTCATCAACCGTTCTCCATATTCTTAGGGGGGTGGTAGAGAATGTTGCGTATTTAAGTACGAATGTGAGCTATAAAGTAATAATATATATACATGCATGGGATTTTAGAAAAAGGTTAAAGGATATATTGCATGAGCAGGGATATTTTATTTATCAGCTACATAAATCACCTTGTAAGAATTGAGAGGTCATCTTTACTCTAATTTATGTTGTCACATAGATCAGAGTAATGTGTTGTGGTTTGCATACTACGATGCGAATTCAGTGACCAGAGTTCGATTCCCGCTCACGGCCGTTTATCTGAACCGGTCCTGGACATCTCTGAGGTCGACTCAGCCTCAAACCAGTACCTGGTGTGATGTGTAAACATCGCCACTCGGGAGACAAAGGCGGCCGGGCGTGGTGCTGATCACCCACTCCCTCGTGCACCGTATCGGCCTTCTTAGATGCACGCTCACAGCACTTGCTCAAATGTCTGTTCAGGCTATGCAGGCGATCTTTGTCTTGCCGGGGAGCAGGGCTTAAGCAAGGAAACTCGAAAATAGGTTTCTGCCTCTTGAGTAGAGATGAGTTAGAAACGATGCTCGTCATTTCACGGCAGGATTGCGGTTAAGTGTGACTTGGGCATCTTCCAGCCTATCGCACTCCAGCACCTGCAATGCCGGCTCTGAAACTGAATACCAAAGTAAATTTGCAACAACACCAAACTGAAGAAGTGCTTTACACGGGTAATTGGAATTTTCTTTGCTCATAAACACACGAGTGTGTGTGTGTACAGTAGAACATCTTGCAGCCAGACTAACCAGCGGGGTCGGGGATTTTTCTTGGTGATGGGAAGATCTGGCGTACTGCACACGATTAAATAATTAAACGGTCATTTTTTTTCAAGATGTTTCAATAATCACATTCAAATATAATTGTCTATATTGTCAAATGCATTTTGTTAAGTCAATGAAGATAGAAATATTTTATTTTCATATAAAAAGCCAGAACTGTAGCAGTTTCTGATATATTACTCAGACTTAATTACTTTGAGTTTACGAAATTTCTCACCTTTATAATAATATATTGAGGACTTATGATAAATGCACACATTAGACATTGGTTCACTGTCCACTCTCGAAACTGTCCACTCTTTATAAAGAAAACATCCATAAGCCTATCTCGAATCACTGAAGTATATATTTTTTAAATGCCATTTAGGAACTGCAATGAACTCAACACAAATGTAATGCCATCAGGTCTGGCAAATGTAGTGCCATCAGGACGGGCAGAATGGACGTGGTTTTCTGGAAGACTAAGGAGGTTTCCGCTATCTACATGCCCAGATATGCGTGCCACGTGTGTGCTCCACCGCAGGCTGACGAAGCTGCTGGAGGAGGAGGAACGCGGCTATCTGGAGGAGCTGCAGCGCACGCAGGAGACCACGTTGGAGCGGCAGGCTCGCATGCGCGAGCGCGCCAAGGCCCTGAGGGAGCAGCGCGAGTGTGAGCGGCAGCAGCTGGTCACGCAAAAACTGGATCAGCAGTTTCGGTTGGTGCCGTCTCCCTCGAACATCTGGACGGCTTTGGCAGCACGCGTATGGCCGGAGAAGGCGGAGGGCGTTTCGATCTTGTCCGGGTCGGAGGATAGTGCGTGAATTAGAGATGTGTGGAGTGAAGATATGTGTTGGAGAGAGAGATAGAGAGACCATGCCCATCACTGGATGATTTAGAATTATTTTCTATATCACACTTGCCTCGTGGTGTCACCACCATACCTGCCAGGGTACACCATCACAATAGGACCGATGATTTTGTGGGTCTTACAGGGCCAGATCATTCACAGTATTGAATGATAGCCACTGTTTCATTCGTTGGTATGACGTATTCCGCAAGTGATGACCCAAAAACTTTTTTGTGTTTAGTTTGTTGTCTTTCCCCCGCACCTCCGATTAGCGTGGTTGGCTATGTACGGTGCGAAAGAAGTTCAACATACATACATACAATAGCTGCCATACACTTACACACATTTTTCCACGAGTCGGGCTGCTGTGGCCCAACTCATACAAAACCAACGGGTAAACGTGGCCACCACTGTGCGTGCGTGCGCGTGCTCGCAGAGAGCAGAGCGAGGAGCTTCGCACCGTCCTGTCGCGCTGGCACCAGGACCAGGTGTGCACCGAGCGGCACGTGCAGCTGGCGGAGCGCGACGCCGCGCGACAGCGGGAGCACCAGGAGGAGAGGCTCTTCGCCGAGCTCTGGGAGCGCGACCGCTTGGCCAAGACTGAGCGCGAGGAGAGGCAGGCACTGGAGCGCGCCGAGAGCAACCGCGAGAGCTTGCAGGCGCTGCAGCAACAACGGGCGGCTGCGCAGGAGCAGAGAGAGCAAGCGAAACGACTCAAACAGGAGGAGGCTGAGCTCATGGTGGGACATGTTAAATAATTATCAACCTGCTAGAGTATAGGCCACTTTCTAAATGTTATACTAATTTAGCGGTAATGATTGCAAGATCCTTTTTAACACCATAAATTAATTGAGGGGACCATTTTTGACAGAATCATCTTAACACCTGTATTATTTCCAGAAAGGGTTATTTTTTTAATCAACATACATTCAATTTAATACAAGGATTTCCTGGTGGCATCCGTCCATCGTAAGGGCGTATTCTGACCGAAAGAAACCAGCGACTCTGACCTTTAGCCCAGGTAAAAAAACTGTGGCCTAGTATATTTACCATACTAATCTTGTTGGGTTTCAGAAATGTATAACATTTCTTCGATTTCCTCTGGTTTTTCAGTTGAGAGTTGGGAATACATTCTTTGCAATTAAGAAAAATCCTTGCAACATAATAAACGCCTGAATGTTATTAAGCACTCCAGCTTAGAAAAAATATTGGCCCTGTCCATAGAACAGGCTGGAACTAAGCTTGTATCTAACATACTGAATATATAGAAGAGCTATGAAAAAAATTTGACACACATGCATCATATCTTTTTACACTTGGGCCACTGTAAATTGCAGGGCAAAACTCACTTAATATTTTTTTTACTGAAACCTTTGAAAATTTGTATCTGGATTTTTTTTAAATAGTGCTATATAATTTTTTTCTCGTACTATAAAATAATTTCGATAACTGATTTCCGAAACTTGTTGAAGTGTGCAATGTTTAAGCTTATAGCGCTCACTGGCCACTCCCGCTCGCTTCCGTGAAATATTGTTCTTGCATCGATTGTTTCATGGTCCTAATCTGGGCATTGTGCCCATTTGTATCCCGGCTCTACCCTCATATGCTGTCTTACCTTATCGCATATCTTGAAAGATATGAATTTCAGATGGTTCACGCTTGGTTATGAATAAAAGAACCGAGAGAAAGGAGAAAGCAACATGATGGAAAAATGGGACATCAGTGCCACGATTAACACTCTTCTCCGCAAGTGGCATTGCTTGCGATGCCAAATTTGTAACCGTTTCGCGTGAATTCTTTGTCAGAGGGAGCAGCGGGAGCTTTGCAAAGTGGAGGAGGAGCGCGCCCAGCAGGACAAGCAACGCCAGCGACAGCAGACGCGAGCCATGCTGGACTCGTCCGTGCGGTTCAAGTTGCAGCGGCTGGCACGCGAGCGGCAGGAGGAGATGGATTTGGACATGAGGCTGCTTGAGCAGATGGTGCAGACGTCGAGCAACGAGAGCCAGGACCAGCAGCAACGCAAGGTTGGTCCATCCACTCGTCTCCCACATGGGTAACCTTACTATATAGGGTGCCACAGTGGCGAGATGTTAACTATCTCACCTGGTATGCAGGAGGTTGTGGGTTTAATTCCAACCCTGACACTTGTATATTGGAGTTTGTATGTTATACCCGTGGTTGCATGGATCTTTCTCCGGGTAACATACTCAGGTTTTTCCCTCCACATTTATAAATATGCGTTTAGAGTATTTGGCTGCTATACATTTCCACGTGATAAGCCACTTCGTTGAGCTATCATTTATGGCCAGATTGCTTTTTAAAAAGGGCTATATAGCTCAGTGGGCCTTATCTGGTAAAACAAAAAAAAATCTGTTTTTTTGACAGGGCCATTTCCAGTGGAGCCAGTTTACACAGTCAACAGTTCAATTCCTGCAGCTGCTAAGTAATTTTTTTTGTGGAAATTACTAAATTATGCTATCTGCTGTATACTTTATTCAAATTTATATATTTGTTTTTAATGGTCAATGTGCCCCAGTTGTATCCCAATTGTGTTATCAGCGTCATGTAATCATGTCAAATCTCTCGCAGAGCCGTGCAACTTGGTAGGACTTTCCTGAAAGAGGGTCTTGAGAAGAAGACTCAGTGAGGTTTTTCCTGGATAAGCAAGCGTAATCATAATGACCCCTCATGGGACCTCTCTGGCCAGTATTAAGATATAATAATAGTTTTTACCCTTTCTGGCAATAAAACAGGTGTTAATATGTTAAAACATCAAACTGAAGCCTTTTTCAAGGAATCAGGTCTGCATTAAGCACATATACTTGTGGTGAACATGCAAACAAACAAAAAACATGCCCTGACAGTATATGCATTGTCTTTGAAACCGATTGTTCCACACCAGAGACAGCTTTCTTTAGAGCCTAGTCTCAAACAGTGTTCGATCAGAGGACGCCAAAAAGCGAACAGCACAAAGACAAAGCCACTATCAGGACATTGAGAGCTCAGGGTGAGCAGCCACATCATGGGACCTCCCTGGCCAGTATGGAAATATAAGAATAGGTTTTACAACTTAGGTTTTAACATTTTGACACAACTGTTTTATTGCCAGAAAGGGTAAAACATATTCTTATGAACCCTTCTTGTTAGAGAATGGGCCCTTCATGCTAGAGCTGCCTCCAAAATCCCTTGAAGTGACCTCTAGTTCACAGACTAGGGGGCGGTCAAACTGATATTTAAATTATCAGGATTGGAATTTCGCCAAATTATATGCAGATTTGTTTTTTATTTGATGGATTTTGTGCGTAGCCATTGGTAACTGGGTTGAGACCATCAACTCGTTGCGTGGTTTAATCTCAGGCAGCTGCCTGGATTGGGATCCAGGACCTCAACGGTACCAGCTCGGCACTCTGACCTGAGCCACCCAGCCACCTTCTTGTACACTTTAGTAAGCAATGTAAAGTCCTTCACCAGAGTAGACTATTGCCTAACATTGTCCGAGCACAATTAGAGTTTCAGACTCTCATTAGCCCCTCAGTTAAATAATTCATAATGAATTCATAATGAATTATTTAATGTTTACGTTTCATATATGAAGTCATTTTTCTGGGGTGTGAAGCATTGTTCTTACATAAGCCATTCAATTTATAAACTGCACCCAAGTAACTTCGTAATTCCTTTTGTCAAACGGATCGTTTGTATGGTCATGATGATACAGTAATATGAAATATCCCAGTGGTGTCAAGTGTTGGCAGGTACCTTGAAGTGTTTCCCATAGCATCTCATTAATTCGGCATTCAACTCAAATAAAGTGCAACTGATTTTCTCCAGTCGGGGTAGCCATACTTTCTGCCCATGTCAGCAACAAACCAAAATCTTCATATGGCCGTGAGCCACAGGACATACACACACGGCTTGACACGTGGCTGGTTTACTCAGGCTATTTGGCTGTGGTATTTTTCATTTAGAAATCTGTGGGAGCACCCATGTCTGGCTCCCGCTTCCCTAACTTTCAATTAAAGTTATATTTAAAATCAAACAATAGCCACATCTCTATCGAGATCGCACTTGAACTGCCCAGGCCCCACATGCGACTCATGGGCTACTGTTTAGCAACCCCTTACCTGCGGTGATGATATCGAGCAGTTGACGCATGATGAGCAGGCCACATCAGTGGGTGAATTGAGCCAATGTAGAGTGGATATGGAAACAATTAACTTTTCTTTACTGCTATTGCTATTTTACCAAGGCCCACTGAGCTATATAGCTGTTTTTCAGAAGCGAACTGGCTACAAATGATAGCTCAATAAAGTAGCTTATGACGTGAAAATGTATAGCAGCCAAATAGTCAAAACGCATGTTCTAAATGTGGAGGTAAAAACTGGACAAATCCATGTGACCAAAACTCCAAATATACAGGCGTCAGGGATAGAATCGAACCCATGCCCTCCTGCATACCAGGCGAGGGAGTTAACATCTCGCCACCGTGGCAGTGAGTGGACAGGATGTGTGCAGCTAAGTGTGCTATGCTCGGCTGCTCGTGTTAACAGCGCTGCAATGCAGCCACCGCACAGCCTGCTGATGCCAGGTTTCAATGACCATTTTCACAGATGGAGCTGCGCAAGGAGCAGCAGCTGTACCGTCAGCACTTGGCCCAGCAGGCGGAGGAGGAGCGGCAGTGCGCACGCGAGATGGAGCGCCTGATGGGGGCCGAGCTGGAGCGCATGTGGCGCCGGCGCGAGGAGCAGTGGCGCCTGGAGAAGGAGGCGCGCAACCGCCTCTTCAAGGACGTCATGGACGCACGGAAGCAGCAGATCCAGGAGAAGCGTGCGTGCTGACGTCACAGGCCCAAAGCATGAGTCTACGCAGCCTCGAATAATGACGATCTGATGTGGTGTGTCAGTATACCAGCACGAGGGAGACAAAGGCAGTCGATTGCACCTGAATGCTGGCTCAACCATCCCCTCGTGTTCAATACCTGTTAGTAATCTAACTGAACTATCCCTGCCGCTCTGTAATGTTAAATGTGGAATATAATATTTGTTTGGTGTGTGTGTGGGTGTGGTAAATGGAAGCAGTCGTGTGGCAGTTAGCGAGCTGCGCTACGAACCCGGCGGCCCGCGTTCGATTCCTACTCACGTCCAACACGGCCAACACCGGTCCTGGGCCTCCCCTAGGTCGACTCAGCCTCAAATTACCACTTGCCCTGACAGTCTGTTAAGGCTATACGGGTCGATCTTTGTCTTTGTGCATGTGTGTTGACAGTGGACCGCAATTCGCATAAGCAGCAGGAGCTGATCCAAGATCAAAAGCTGATGGAAGAAGCTGCGAAAGAAAGCAAACGGATTGAGGAAGAGCAGCAAGCCAGGTGAGTAGAGAGCATGACTCCCATTGCAGGTGGTGGGGGGTTCTGTGAAATAGAGCTGCATTTATCGACTATAATAGGTTAATAGATAATTTATTTTTTGATTTAAAGCTTTCGTGACTGCAGTAATTCATATTCTTAGTTTTTTCGGTAAAGTCACGTTGAAGGGAAACAACAAAATAATAATAAAAAATATAAAACAATAAAAAATTCTCACGACGTTTCGACCATAACTCAAACGGTCGTCTTCAGGTGTGTTGGTTTGCATAAATTTATTTTTAAACGGTGCATTTATTTATTTATAAAAACGTTAGCGCCACGCGCAACGATTTGGCAGTTTATTTAGGACTAGTCCATCTATATTCTGAAAAGAGGAGGGGGGAGACGAATTTTTTTTATAATGTATGCTGTCTGAAAGCCACTGTAAGTGTGAACAATCAATTATTATTTTGTTGTTTCCCTTCAACGTGACTTTACCGAAAAAACTAAGAATATAGATAATTTATTGCTTTGATTATTGTAATATAATTAGCATACGCATTTTGTTTGCAGAAACTTGAGTCATTTCCACGCGAGATGCTCAAAACACTATTGCACATCATTGTAAAAAAATTTTCAGGGTGAAGAGCGCGAACTGGGAGCATCAGGCTGCACTGCGGTCTCAGATAGAGCACCAGCAGAGAGTGCACGCAGTCGAGCGCCAGGCGGCACAGCAGGAGCACGAGCAGACGTTGCTGGCCCAGGCCGCCTACCAAGAGAAGCTGCACGACATCCTTTCCCGGCCAGAGTCGGAGAGCAAGCTTGTGCACCCTCTGCGCAGGGTGCAGTCACCCTTCACGCCTCACGGAGGAGGCTCGGCATAGAGCCGGAGCGTATATACATATACAGCTCGGTGCCTAAACACGCACACATTCAGTGAGACGTGGGGGGGTGCCCGGGTGGCTCAAGAGGTCAGAGCGCTGAGTTGGCACAGCTGACATTCTGGGTTCAAATCTGCGATTAAGCCCGGGTTTGCGATTGTAGTGATTTGATGCTCTCAGATTATTCAGCAATGACGGCACACAAAAAGGAAACCCATCAGATTACATTATTGCACTGAGCTTAATTTGGATAAATTCCAGCTCGGAAAATGTCTATTTTGTTTGATTGTCATGTGACAAACAATACTCTGTGTGGCAGGGTGGGTGAGAAAGTGCTGCCCCTTAGTCTGTGGACCAGGGGTCACTTGAACGGAGTTTTGAGGTAGGTCTTTGATACCCGCTTCCGTGGGCCATTCTCTGCACTGCTCTGAGAGCGATCCGAATGGATGTATGTTGAACTTATTTCGCACCGTACGTAGCCAAACCGTGCGAATCGTCTCATGGCTTGATATCCATAGCACAAGTGGGGTAAAATTGGGGGGGGTAAATAAAACAAATTGTGGGACATCGTGTACCTGGTGAAGAGTCATGGTTCTAGTTTGAGGAGGGAATAGACTGCCTTGGGTTTATACAGTCTCAAGATCACATTTTTTTCAGGTGGTTTAAGTTAAATAAAATCCATCAATGGCTTCATCAGATCTTCCTATACCAGAAGGAAATGCATTATCGCGAATCCACAGTACAGTGTGTAAATTAATTAAGAGCAGCCAATTGCACTCATGAAATATTTCCAAATTTCGCTTGATGGTTTATGTACTTCTGTGTCAATTTTGAAATAAAAAAAACTTCTGGTAGTTTTTCTCACGCCAAACTCACAAAGCAATGCCTCTTTTATCGAATGAGTTAAGATGGTTAACCACCACCACTGGAAAAAAAATCTCCAAAATCAGAAAAATGTTGACAGTAAACCTTCCAGAAGGGAGGAGTTAAATATATATGTGCTCTGCTTGTTGCTATTCTTAGTAAGATAAATTACACTGTAGTAACCAGATAAATATGGAAATGTATAGTGACTTGAATCTTTACGTACCGTAATGATATGAACACCATACAAAATACAGATTATTTCTGCTTCTAAAAATGAGTAAAGTGCTAATAAAACGAGAATAACGTCACCTCGGCGAACCGCGAGGAACCCGTGGAACATCTCAACCAAGAAGCGGCTCCTTTGAGATGGAAAACAACGATTAAAGTAGCAGTGCCATCCTTGGCATGCATGGGGGTGAGGTGGGGGGGCGCACCATAGGAAACTTAAAACAAACTTTCAAGAAATATCACTGTGTAACACAATGTTTGTTCCTGGATAGTAAGTGTTATTTCGTAATTGCTTGTGCCTAAAAAGTATAGAAAATGTCGATTATTCCCCACAAACGTTGCTTGTGTGACCAGGACAGTGATATTTTGAAATTTACCTATTTTCAATGAGAAAACGGGAGAATTTGTGTCTTTTCGTTCACATCAAGTCAGAAAAAAACAACATATTAATCAAAATTAACATGTATTTATACTAAAGTAATACATTTAGAAGTGAGCAGTTTTTCGAGATTTACAATTATACTGTAAATCACTTTCACTAATCAGCCCCAAATGTAGTCTCCCATCATGTTCTCGTTATACTACAAAAGAATATTGTCGTGCATATGATAAGCATTGAAACAATAAACAGCATTGGAAGGTTTTTTTTTTAATTTCCTTATGCTCCAAATGAAAAAGATGTTCCGGAAAGTAAATCTCACACACTCTGGTTCTAGTCGGTAAAGTCACGTAGGTAAAAAATAAAACAACAAAAATCATTGAAGTGCTGTCGTCCCGACAGTTCTGTTCCTTCAACTGAAGGCCACTTGTGTTGTGGCCGAAACGTCGTGATTTTTGTTGTTTTAATTTTTTACCTACGTGACTTTACCGAATAGAACCAAAGAGTATGGACCCTTGCAGTCACGAAAGCTTCAAATCTAGAAGGAAGTCTCACCCCAAACTTGTGCACGGTGTCAATAAAGTTATACAGCTGTGGTCACGTGCACAAAGGTCACCCGTATAGCCAGCAAGACTGTTGGGGCAAGTGCTGTTAGCGAGCACCTATTTGAGGCCGGAACGGCACACGAGGGGGTGGGTAGCCACCCCCTCGCCCGGCCACCTTTGTCTCCCTAGTGGCAATGTTTACACATCGCACCAGGTAGCTATTTGAGGCTGAGTCGACCTAGAGGAGGCCCAGGACCGGTTCAAATAATCGTCACCGGTGTTGGCCGTGAGTGGGAATCGAGCTCGGGATGCCAGGTTTGTAGCGCAGCGGGCTAACCGCAGCCCCGCCGCTCCACACACGCACACACACATGCATCCACACACGCACACACATGCATCCACACATGCACGCACATGCATCCACACACGCACACATGCATCCACACACATACACATGCATCCAACAACCGCCATTCGCCACTAGGTGGCGGTGACGTCACCACGACGTTTGTGCCAGGCCATGTGCACCTTGAGGCCACGTGAAGTGTCGAACGCCCGCGGGCAGGTCACGGGGCAGACCCAAGTGCAACGGGTCGACTGACTGAGATAACTGAGATGACTGGCTGATGCACCACCTGTGGCCCCTACTGTGCCAACCTGCTGTGCTTTAGCCACCCGGCGCTCCGCTCGTTGTTGTGAGCGTCGCTCCTCCGCCCTCCGTTGTTATTGGAGGGCGACTGCCTCCAACTGCCCAGTAGCGTCCTTCACGAGCCTCCTCCACAGAGGCCGATCTTGACACCGCTGGTACCAGTCATCGGCAAGTCCACTCAGCTCCACGTCCTCCTGTACCACATCACTCCATCTCTTCTCTAGCCCGTGCCGCGCCCGTTTAGCCCCCTCGATCCGGCCGAACAAAAGCTGTTTCGGCATGCGGTGGCTGGGCATGCGGGCTACATGACCCAGCCATCGCAGCCTTCCCCGCCGGAGGAGCTCGCCGATGGGACCTTGCCCAGATCTTTCAAGGATTTGTGAGCTCCTCACACAATCCAGCCTGGTTAACCCCAGGATGGATCGTAGGCAGGCCAGCCTAAATGTTTCTAACCGGCGAAGATGTTCCATTAAGGGGGTCCACGTTTCGCAAGCGTAGAGAAGGGAGGGAATGACCGTGGCCGAGAAGACCTGAAGAAGCTTCGTGCGGAGCGACAGACCAGGTAGCTTCCACAGCGTTACGCAACCGATGAAAAGATATTGCCGCTCGTCTGATTCGGAGCGAGACCTCTGCTGTTAAACTGGAGCCGGTCATAAGCACACATGCATCCACACACGCACACACATGCATCCACACGCACACACATGCATCCACACACAAATGCATCCACACACACACATGCATCCACACGCACACACATGCATCCACACACACACATGCATCCACACACACACATGCATCCACACACGCACACACACATGCACCCACACGCACACACATGCATCCGCACACACACATGTATCCACACGCACACACACATGCATCCACACACGGAACGAACGAACACACCTACCGGATTATAAGACGCATCCTTAACTTTTGCTTAAAAATGCACAGGAAAAGTGCGTCGTATAATCCGAAGAATGCGGCTGAATATAATCAATTAATTACGGAGGGAAACGAGAACAGACATAATACGGTTGTTACCACAGTATTTTGTGGGTATAACAGAAGCCTTGAAGGTGTATACGGCCACAGGCACATGCCAGATTATACACGCACGCATATGTAACCTTAACGTACATACTCTCTAACATATCTGTAATATTGGTCAACACATGTCGCGATATTAGTGCTAAGTATCGCTAGCATCGTAACTGCGTTGCTTGCAGCGTTTCATATTTGGGGCATTTCCACAAATCAAGCCAACGCACGGTTAACATTACAAAATCATCTTCAATACGTACATATAGGCGGGTCATTAGGGGCCGTCCATAAATGACGTCATGTGCCTAGAGGGGGGGGGGTCAGACATTTGTGACGATGTGTGACGGGGTGGGGGGGGTGAGAAATGTGACGTCACATCAAAATGCGCAACTTTAAATAAATATAGACAACACGTTCTACTCAATGAAATAGACTTTTAAATAAATGTGTTCTCCTACAACATCAGAGTGCAGCGCCACATTAAATACGCACTACAATGAGAATAGTTTAAAGCGATTTGAAGCATGTTTTTTTTTTTTGGGGGGGGGGCAGAGCTTTGTGACGTCATATTTGAGGGGGGGGGCTGACTTTTTGTGACGCCGTGTGACGATGGGGGGGGGGGGGGTAAAAAAATCGTCCAAAATCGCGTGACGTCATTTATGGATGGCCCCTTATGAAGGTAGTTCTGTGGTATGTTATAAAATATGGTTTATTTATGGAATAAGTCAACGTTGTGATATGCGAAACCGACGCACCATCACCACCGTCCCAGCGTGGATGGGGGGGAAGAAGTCAGTTCGCCCGAGAACATTCCACAACACGGCATTTTTTTCTCATCAAGAAAGATGCTCATTATTTATACCAGAACTACAATCCTAATTTGCTGAAATTGCCAAGCCCGAGTATAATGTAATTTCATGACTAAACTAATGATTGCCCGCGCCTCTAAAAGGTTATGAAAAGGACGTCCAAATCTGGGAATTGCCCGTTTTAAAACGCTATGCACCACGTGCATTGAACCGCGTAACATTTGACGATGGTTTTAGCTTCACAAACGGAATAACAATCCGCGACTATGAAAACTCAGCGCTAAGTGCGCGTTCCCAAGAATGGCCAGCAGAGAGCGCAATTAACATTGGCTGGAGCGTATCGAACAGAGAGGTGGGGGAGCGGTGGCACAGTGGTTAGCGCACTAAGCTGTGAACCCCAAAAACATACATATTCTTGGTTCTTTCGGTAAAGTCATGTAGATAGAAATTTTAAATAAAAATAATAAAATTAAAAAGAATCAATTGAAAATAATAAAAGCAAAAAACCCACGATAACATAAATCTTGACTTAAAGCTTTCGTGACTGCAGGAATTCATATTCTTGGGTCCTTTGGTAAAGTCACGTAGATAGGTGACTTTACCGAAAGACCCAAGAAGGTGGATAACATACATGTCAACCCATACGGTTTACCCGTATTGTTGTCCGGGGAAATTGAGTTTTCAGGTCCATATGGCGTACAACCGTTTCAATACAGGCAAAAAGCCTAATGTTTAGTCTATTTGTTTGTGTTTCTCCCTTGTGATGGAACTTTGTAGGATGAACGTTGAGCTTTATAAGGGCACGGGGTGACCAATAAGGTTTGAATTGGTCTGTAATAAGGTGGGCACTGATAAGGGGTTGACAGGTATGCGAAAACTTGAGTTCATCGCAACATATCCCGGCCACGGCAATTGTCCCCGGCTGTCCACAAAGTCAAGTCAGCCTGAATCGAGTGGCACTCAGCGAACGACAGGCTGGTTTGACAGATTCCGGCACACCCTCGGTGGCTTAATTATAGTCGCGGCATCCGCACCAACCAACTCAGTACCTGACAACATTAAAGAACCATTTCCCCTAGTCCCTGGAGCAGACGCTGAACCTGAAAAAAAACCCCTCGACATCTCGTCAAGTGTCTCGGAGACTTCAATGCCTGCCTCTGGCGTTGCCAGGAGATGGCCTTCGACCTGTGATCGGTCCACGTGGTGCGCGGCATCCCCCGAACGCCAACTCACAAAGGCTCCACTCAGTTGTGTGAAAGAAATGGGGCTCGGAATAGGTGGCACGTGGTTCCAGTGCCGCGGCATTTCAGAGGCATTCCTGGATTTCAAATGACGGCCACACACAGAAATAAATTGACCGCATACTTATCAACTCCAGATGGCACGCTCTGCAAACTTGCAAGCGTTTACTGCAGCCTGGGGTCTGACCCAGACCACCGCCCCGTTATCGTAACTATCATCAGTATAAAGATTAAACGAGTGACCATCTCCAATACCCCCCCCCCCCCCCCCCCCCCGCTATATCAAACAACTATCAGACCTATCTTTCGAACAAGAAGTACACATACTCTTTGGTTATTTCGGTAAAATCACGTAGGTATAAAATAAGATAAATCACGAAACCTTTCCAACCTGATGACGGACGCTTGTGTTGTGCCCGAAAAGTCGTGATTTATTTTCTTTTATACCTACGTGACTTTACCGAAATAACCAAAGAGTATGGATTCCTACAGTCACGAAAGCTTCAAATCAAGAAAGAAGTACACAGTCAACGGTAACAACCGATGTTCTGCTCCCTCTGAAGAGACACGGACAGATTGGGACCAGTTTCGAGACTCTGTAAAAAGAAAGTCCCCCCAAGACCTTCCTCGGAACCTGTTACACCGTGAGAATGGAATGGATTAGTGATAAAAACATGGTGCTTAAATTGAGAGAAAATGCAAAACACGGGTCAAAGGGTCCAACGAAGACTACAAAGGACAGGAGAAGGCAATGGAAGACCCCAGATGCGGTATGAGCGCCCGAGGCGGGCTGATGAGAAAGCAGCACCAGCGGAGCAAAGACCTCTCCACGGGCAAAATGCAATGGTAACCTTCCATCAACTTGAGTCACCTCCGGGGAGCCGACGGCAACGTTTCCTGACCAATTGCAGATGTTAGTCGCCACCCGGTGAGCGACTGGAGGCAGCACCTAGCATGTGGGTAAAAAAACA